ACCAAGGCCATGCAAAAATGAAACTTTTAATAATGCATGTCTACCCAGATCTCTGGGATTCACAATAATAAATTATTTTTCCTGATTATCAATCATGGTTCCTTATGAATAATAAATCTGATGTTGATTACAGGTGTCAGATTTAATTAAAATTTCCTATCACAAACATGCAATCGCAATGCAATTAAGCACAATTCAGCACCATAGAATGTTTTCCACAGGTGAAGGAGGGTTGAACATGTTGGAAGGCTTTGGACAAAACTTTCCCTATCTTCTTTCCCAGACCAGGCTTGGCTGTTTCCATATGGGCATTGATTGCTGATGAAAGTTGACATTTATGATGTTTGCTTTGTGTTATCACCTCTCACTAAAATAAAGTTTAATTTAAATAACAAGTTCAGTTGGTCAGATAAAATTAAAGAGAAACAGAAATATGAAAATGATTAATTTATAACATACCAAACAAAATCCGAACCATTTTTATAACTTTTTCTTGTTGGCCATATTGCTGACAAGGATGTATATAATCATGCAATAATTTTAATCTATACAACAGAAGACTGATTGGGCAAAAACCCTACCCAAAATTATAAATTGGTTAGTTAGTATCAGAGAAACAGAGAATTTATGAAACTTTCCTCTTAACATCAGAGTCCAAATGCAATTTCAGGGTCACCAACCCTGCTCTGAATTGTGACCCCTGTGCTTGAAACGAATTGCAGGTTCTCATTGCTTTGATGGATCTGGATATTTACATGGCACTACAATTCATCAGCAGAGTTGCGACTTGGTCACAGAGCCATCCTTACCCTAGAGGCAGGATCGTTGCGGGCAACTTTTTGTCTAACATGGCAGCAGCCATCTCTGGTCTGGAAGATTAGTGAAAGTGTCATTGACGATTGGTGCAGTCTGGTAAACTCCAGGGCCAAACAACCCTCCCCTGGAATTCTGTAGCATATCATATCATCGAGCGTGACTCGGTCAGATTAGCCTTATGTACACGAGGAATACATGAGAGAATGACTGTATGTGTTCAAGGTAGCGCGCGTGCTTCAACATCTGTAAATTTCCAATAATCAAACATTGCATATTTGAATTGTTTCTTTTTTAACAGTGTATTGTCTTGACATCCTGTGATTATAATTATATAATAATATTATTAATAATATTAACGATCACGAAAAGCAAAATATTATCAATGAAAATCTTGTAATTACCCAGCAAGATCTGCTCTGCGTTTTGATTCCAATTAAAATGTTATAATAACCAAAATAAAAATATCAATCAATACAAATAAAAAATAGTACCTCTGGTTAGTTATTAACACGTTTTCTTTAGGAGAACCGAACAACAACACTCACGTTTTGTCACCTTGGACTCTATCAAAAAATAAATTGTTTTTCAAAAAAAAAAAAAAAAAAAATCAATTCGCATCTGTCCTACCAAAAAAAAACCAATAGGATAAATAATTAATGTGTATGCATTGATCAAATAACAAACTTCTTTTTTTTAAATTTAAAAATGTCTAATTATAAGAAACTAAGAAATCAAGATACAAATTGTGAAGAGATTGCAGGGTAAGTGTTTATCATAAGAATGGTGGTGGCAGTTATCGCCACCACTTGTCATTCTAGTTATTGTCATTCTGATTATTTTTATAAATTTTTGCACATAATAGATCTAGCATGCAAGACGCGCAAGAACAGTAAGCATATAACACTCTCTTTAGTTATCATTTTTAAGAATGATTTTTGATTTTTGATTTTATCTTTTTTATAAAGCAGAGTCATAGAAAAATATCTGATGATTTTTGAAGACATCAAAACTAAGGTTTCTGGTCCAAACTGTTTTCTCAAAGCCCAAACTAGTATGGGCAATTTGGGCTTCTCAACATTTTCTATAAGCATGAACATTAAAAAACTATATGAATCAACTTGTTTTAACTTAAACAACTTTAAAATAATTTCGCCCAATTTTGGCTAATAACAAAAAGTAGTTTGGGCTTATAAAAAAATAATTTTGCCCAAAGTATTTAGGCAATTTCGGCTACTAATAGAAGCAGTTTTGACCAGAAACCTTAATCAAAACTAGCATAAGCCAGAAATTCCATATAAAATTAGAAGATATTAATAATGCAATTGATCAAAAATCAAACATTATAGAAGATGGAATCAATTTCGTTAAAAATTTAATTAAAGAAATCGAAGTGAGTTTATAAGCCTATTAATTCATCATTCATATGTGTATAATATATACACGTGTATTCATATAACTATGTACATGATCTACACAAACAACTTTCTTATTTTACAGATTGATGCGTCACAACCATTAGATGATAATACTGGTTCAAATATCTTAAGTCCATCATACAATCCTATATCCAATGGTAGTATATCACTGACATCAACATTGACACCAACACCAATAACTACCACAATTACAACCGTAACAAATGATGTTGACACTAGTGTTGACAACAGATATAATTTTAGGACTAGGAAGCACGTAAACTACAAATTTACATTACCATTGCCATTGAAGAAACGCCACTGTAACAACATACCAGTAAGTATAAACTGAAACTAATAGTAGACATATTATATTTAATTTTTTTACTTTATTTATCCCCTAAACGGTTAATCGGCTATTGATAGCTGATAAAATTTTTCTGATATAAAAATTTTTTTCTGAGGCATCACTTTTCTAATATGAAATTATCTTTGAGATTCAGCCGATTAACCTATAAATAAAAATCTAGTTGTTGTCCTTATGGTTTTTGTAAAATCTTCTTTAAAAGTTGGTCGATTGACTGTTTTTACTTTGCTGATCATTAAATTGACCAATAAGAATGATCAAAACTTTAATTTGTGTTACCATTAAGAATGCTCTGACCGTTTAAGAGATAGGAATCAAGATCATATTTTTTTAGAAAAATTCTTAATAATAAAAATACATATAATTCTCTTTTTGAATATATACAGATTAAGGATACTGGCTGCAACTTTTGATGATGGTTGCTACCATCTTTGCATCATATAAAAACGATTGCAACCACTGGTTGCAACCACCTTTACAACCATTTTGTTTCCTTTTTTGGATTGCGACATGGAACACTAATACAGATAAGAAATGATGATAGCAGAAATGATTCAAATGCAATTGGTTTAACCCCTGGCTACTTGGATCCTAATAATCAATCAAGTCCAGCAAGCTATTCTCCAGATGAAGAATATAGGGTATATATAATATAAAATACAATTATATTTTAAGATGAAAATATTAATTTTTGTTTTTATATACTATATAGGAGGAACTGATGACTGAGTGTACAAAGTGCATCGTATGTAGGGTTTGTATTCATGGATACCATGAATACCGTTAAGGGGGTTACACACTAATAAATCAGCAAAAAATCCCTTAAAACACTTGATTTTAATAGTGTGTAACCCTGTGTTACCTCCTTATGGTATCCATGAATACAACCCTAGTCGTACGTTGTCCATTAGAATAATCCCTATAAATTTACCCACAAAAAAAATTTTTTACTCATTTGCAAAAAATTTTAGAGATGGTGACATTGCAAAAAATAAAATTTGTTAAATTGTAATATTTTGCTAGTTACCTAAGAAATAAGTATCTAAAATTTTATGATAGAAAAGGTTTCATAGGCTTGGATGAATATTATGTTAATTCTTGCAAAATTCTATATAATATATATGAATTTATTTACAATTTATAATAAAATTGAAAGCAATTTTTTTTAGTGTGATCATTGGTTGATATACTTTAATAATACAGTTCACTCTCTCTATAACGAACCCTCTGTTCCTATATGTAATTTCTCTGCTTTTGGTCATTATAGAGAGAGTTTATTAAGATGGTCGTTATAGAGAGAGAAATTAATTATAAAAAATTGAAACGGGACAAAAGGGAAGTTCGTTATAGAGAAATTTTACTTAGTGGTCATTATAGAGAGGGTTGTTATAGAGAGAGTGAACTGTATCAAAATGCAATATAATAGGAAATTGATAAACAACTTAAACTTTTTTTTTATAAAGAAATTTGATATATTTGAAATTCTCATGCAGCAAAACATGGTCAACAAAATTAATTTATATGTTAACTAGAGTGGCAACAAGTGGCGATAACCACCATTCTAATGATATAAACACTTTTCAAAATTAATTATTTGATCAACAAACGCGTACACTAATCATTTATGTATGGAGCCCCCTTTTTTTTTGGAAAAACAATTTATTTTTTAAGGGTAGGGGAATCACGTGTTAATTTAATAGTAAATCCGGGGCTCATTTTTTTTAAAAAATTCGAATTTTCCCAAATTAATAATTGTCTTAAAGTAAAACTACGGCAAGACCTGTTGAAACAACTTCAAAATTATTTTATATGTAACTTTAATGTTTCTTAACTATTTGAAAGTGTTTTGAGCGAAACTTCTTAATAAAAATTTGTAAATTTCTTCAAAAAACTTAACACATTTCAAAATAAAAGTAACTTCTTCCATAGTAAACACCTGCTCATCCTATAGTAAACACCTGTTCATTCCTAGTAAAAGTTACTAATTCCATAATTTAAAATACTTATTTGACAAAAAAATCTTATAAAATAATAAAGGTCAATAAATATTTGATAAATTGTTTTCTACTAGTATCTTGGGGTTATGCGACTGCTTTTAATGTGCCACTTACATTTGAGGCAATTAATTATGTTTGAATTAAATCTTTAAAAGAAATCTTATTTTGATGAATTGATGGTAATAAATATCTAGCATCCACATTATTATATAAATAAGTCTGAATAATCAAATTGATTACATTCTGTTAAACAAAAACAAGTATTATTAATAAGTAAATATTCAAATGATAAAAATGACATGTTTGCAATCTACTAAGTAGTTTCACAACATACTAAGGATACTGGCTGCAACTTTTGATGATGGTTGCTACCACCTTTGCGTCATATAAAAATGATTGCAACCACTGGTTGCAACCACCTTTACAACCATTTTGTTTCCTTTTTTGGATTGCGACATGGAACACTACAACATACCAAAAAAATATTTTAATTCGACTTCTGTGATATTATTAGGTTGCTGAATCTTTTTTTTCATGTTTAATCCCATACATGTTATTATATTCTAATAATAAACCTATTATTATAAATTTTTACTTACAATACTGTCATTGGAAAATGTTGATCAGGTTTGATCAGGGTATGGGATATTGGGGTGTTAGATATAAGTATAATCGCAAACATAGGGGAAACCAAATAATAAAACCTAATAGTAGAGATTTTTTGTTGATCATTTTCATAAACTCAAATTACTATTAATTAATTAAAGAAACATAAACTGTTATAACTCACCATACAGATGAGATTTTTTAATTCTGAAAAATGTTTTGAGCTTGCATAGTATACATCTACAATGCAACAGAGTTATATTTATCAATATTAATGTACTTCATATTGAAAAAGCAATTTTTGTCATAAATTCTAGATGTCTACTAATGCAAAATTTAAAAAATCATAATAAACAAAAAAAAGGGCGTTGTTACGTTATAGATAAGGTTCTTAACAATTAAAAACACTTCAAATTTTTTTTCTAGCTATTTTGCTTCCAAAGTTATAAACGTTTTAAGATTTTGATTGTTAAAATAAGAAAATCACCTTTGCATAAACTGTTCTAACTCACCATAATTATATTTAAACAAAAAAAAATAGCGTTGTTATGTTGTAGATAAGGTTCTTAGAGATTAAAAACACTTTCAATTTTTTTTGTGGCTATTTTGCTTCCAAAGTTATAAACGTTTTAAGTTCCCGACTGTTAAAATCCATTTTAATTTATATTTAAATTATTAAAGAAAATCGCTTTTCATGAAAACTGTTATAACTCATCATACAGACAAGAATTTTTAATTCTGAAAAAATGTTTTGAGCTCACAGAATATGTCTCTACAATTTAACAGAGCCATATTTTAAAAATATTTATTAACATTGATGACTTTCATGTTGTTTTGTCATAAATTCCAAATAACTATCAATACATAAAAATTTAAAAAAATTATATTAAACAAAAAAAATAGCATTGTTATGTTGTAGATAAGATTCTTAAAGATTAAAAACACTTTCAATTTTTTTTGTAGCTATGTTGCTTCCAAAGTTATAAACTTTAAGTTTCCCGCTTGTTAATATATACTGTAAATAGCAAAAAAATATTTTTAAAATTTGATCAACATATTTATGTGGTACAAAACCCTTACTAATTGATTTTATTATTTGGTTTCCCCTATGTTTGTGATTATATTTGTATCTAACACCCCAATGGGATATGATAAAGAATTTTGAAAATTACATGCATATATAAAAAATTTTTATATAAATATTATAATTGAAATCAAAACACAGAGCAGATCTTGCTCGGTAATTATAAGATTCTCATCAAGATGGTAAACAATTGGTATTTTGCTTTTTGTAATCAACATTAATATTATTATAATTACAAGATGTCAAGGCAGCACACCATTGAAAAAGAAACATTTAAATATGAAACATTTCGATACGTGACATTTGGTCATTGGAAATTAGCAGATGTTGATACCTTGAACAGTTACAGTCATTTGCTCATTCCTCATGTACAAAGGCTAATCTGACCTCATCCCCTGATGATACAATGATGCAACTGAATTGCTGGGGAGGGGGCATATGGCTTCTGGAGTTTACAGAGATTGATCAATCGTCAATGACGCTTTCACTAATCTTCACAGCACCCAGACCTATACATGCAGCCCAAAGTATTTTGACACTGTCATAAAGGGGGTTACACATGTAGTAAAGGGGTGTTACACGTATGTTTTTAATAGTGAATGCAGCATGGTGGACATTCGAAATGTTACACTAATTTTTATGTGTGTAATGTAATTTTTAAAGTAAAAAACTTTATTGTCAATATATATGGCAAAAGTAATACATTTGGAGTATAGATCATGGTAGTTGCCATATGAGCAACATTTGATAGATTTTCATCAATTGGATTTCAGGATTGATGGATGTCATGATAATCATCAATAAGGAATATAATTAATGAATTAATTTTTGTATTAAGATATTTAAAAA